ATAGTATTTTGTATTCTTCAAACTTTCAGTATCATATTAAGTTTGTTGTTATTTGTCTGCTAATGTTGTGTATCTTCTACATGATTCTTTGTATTGCTGTGTTTTAAAGTACTGCATTAAGTAGGTTGATACTAGGGAAAGAGGAAGGGAGAAGACTCGAAGAAATAAGGTTATTTCATCCTTTGGCAAGTTACTGGTGTAGAGCAGGGCATAGAACTCAGTCTTTAGAAGTACTCAAATAGTACTTTAGTACTCAGGCTACTCGGCTTAATCAGTATTTGTGAAGTTTACTGGGCTATTACTGTGCAGTAACAGTCTTTGTTAGTTATTCTTTAGAATTACTTTTCCTTCTATTGGTAACAATAGGCTGCCATCCTCTGGTGAAATTTGTTAACTGTCTTGTAGGGACCTGACAGATTTTCAGAAGAGAGAAGCCCATTAAAGCAGAAATCTTAGAAAGAATAAATACTAGTTTTTTTGTTAGAGGAATGTAGTTACTTGTACAAGGAATAAGACAAGACTCTTAGAAGGATTTATATCAAATCTTTTTCTCCCTCTTTCCTTTTTCCATGACATATGTGGAGAATGTAAAGATGGAGTTGATTTTTTGACAGTTTTTCTCCCCATCTGCTGATACTGAACTGCCTTGTTCTGTGGAAAGACCATTGAACACCAGTATATCATTTGTTAGATATTATTCTGTTAATTTCATTGCTGTCCATATTCAGAAATCATTGCTGAAACTGTGTAAGGCGCATTTGGTATTGTGATGTCTGTATGTCATTGACATCCACTTGGGTTTATGTTAAAGTATGCCAAAGATACAAGGTGTGTAAATTATTGGTTATCATTACTCACAAATGCTAGCTGAAGAATGATATCTGAAAATAGTGGAGGGTCATTGAACTTTTTTTTTTTCCTCATAACAGACATCCTATGAATTTATGTGATGTGATATAGGAAATTACTGTCTTTTCTCTAAAAATAACTCTTACAGGGGACAGTTAGAATGAACCGTTTGATACTTAACTGCCTTAACACAAAATTGCCAATGTAGTTTACGTCACAGATAAAGTTTTTTAAACTTCAAAGCTAGCTGAATTTGTCTTGAAGATGATGAAAAGCTAAGCAGTTGATAAAATCCTTTGGAGATTATTTATTAAGTGTGAGAGTGGAGGTAGGATCTTCAAAATAGTGTTGCAGTTTCTTCTATGAATGTTATATGTATCTGTGGATGCTGACTGTAGAAAGAGTTTCTCAGTCTGAATGCATGGCAAAGAGGAAAGAGTGAGAAGGCAAGAGAATTTTTAAGGCTTTGGAAGGGTAAGATCAAGACTATACAGTCTTCTATCTCTTAGGACTTTGCTACACTTTCACAAAGCTTTCCCATTATATTGACTTCAGCAGTGGACCTAAAATTTGGTTAAACTGTTACAAAGAGTACCTGTAAAAAATTCTTAGGTTTAGAAGGTGTTAGCCATGCTTTCTAGGGACTAGGACTGCTCCCCTAAAGCCGTGCCCCAAGGAGAGTTTCAGATGAGGTCCAAGGCAGAGGGACACTTTCTGGAGTCTCTATTAGGATTGTTAACTAGCCTCAGCCAAAACTCCTTGCCTTCACAGACCAAAAAGCCCAGTGGCTATTTTTCATACATGTGCCTGGCAGTTAGTCATAGGAACACAGGCAGTTTGAACAAAAGCAAGAGGGATTTTATTTTTTCATGAGGCAACCTACTCGCCTGTGGACATTTGTTACGTTTGGAAATCTTATGCAAAATGCAGTTATTAAGATTTACTGAGAACGTAGGTAATTGTTCCCAAGAGCCCCTTACTGCTGAGTAGGTTTATTAGCAGTGGCTTGGTTGAACTGGCCTGCTTTGGGGTAGAGGTGTCAGCTGACAAAAGGAAGCAGAAGTTGTTCTACATGTGTTCACACCTTAGTCCATCTTCTTAAATGTCTTAGTCTTGACAGATGCAGCATTTCTGTTGTCCATTGCATAAGTTTCAATTAGATAAGGAATTGTTTGCTTTCTCTGTTATATTTCTTTTTAATCCTTACTGCTAAATTAATGTAGAATAATGTACTATATTTCACTGAGTTTATTCTTTTAGTTAAGCTGCAGCTTTTCTATTTATGTTGTCCTTGCTGAATTGGTGTAACTAGTATAGCATGGATGTTTAAGAATACATTTAAACTAGTGATTTATATAAACGTAATTATTTTCTTTTTATTAGCATTGTACTTGCTCTTCGTTGTGCTTTCAACTGAAGGTTTGATTGAAGTCCACCTTTATCCCACTTACTCGAGGTGAAAACTGTTAATTCAGTATTCTACAAAGTAGATAAAAGATTTGGATATTTTCCTTCCATTTTTTATTCTTAACCTTCTTTAGGATTGAACTTTTTTGCTGTTACATTGCTACTTGACTACTCTTTTCCACTGGAAGTCCCTCTAATCTGTTTTGGTTCTTGATTACCCTCTGGTCACCTACAAATTTCCTGTCTCATCCTTTATTTCCCTTTCCTCTATCTTTTTGACAGTAAACTTTAAGCAGTGAACCCTTTGTGGAACATTAAGGACTTAAGCTTTCTAGCTGTTACTAGATAAGAATGGGCATTTATTTCAAATCTTCACTTTCTTCTTGGACAGTTAGTTGTTACTGACAATGCTTTGTCTCTCTGGTATGGGGTTATGAGCTGTTTGGTAGTATAAAGCAGGTAGCCTATCATTGAGGGAAGGCTGGTATTTCCCAGAGGGTATGAATGTGCACTTGGGCTGTTACCATGAAGTAGTAGGTGCTCCTGCTTGCGTATGAATGTAAAGATTTTCTGTGATAATGATTTACTCTAGGGTAAGTGAGTAGTCTGTGTGGTGTGTTATTCTTAATGTAACTAGGCTGTTTCATTCTCAGTTACTTATTTCTGCTCTTGATTTTTTCAACGTTCTTTCATGCTCCACATAAATCTTGTAGAGGTGGCTTAAAGAGTTGACTGTTTCCCTCTGTAGCCTTGTCAGATTTGTTACTGTTGGATTTAAAGTGCAATGTATAGAGAGGCTCAGACTGTGTCTTTTGCAGTAAAAGCTGGTATGCATTCCTTGTATGAACTGTACATCAACAGTTCTGTGTTTCCTGTAAGTGTAGTAACTAATTCCCTAGTGGAAAAATCTACTGAAGGTATTGCCTTTTTTTCCTATGTATACATCAGGCTTGTCTTCTAACACTGGTCTGTAAATAGAGATCATAGCTCTTCAGGCATGATGACACAGCTATGGCTAAAGAAGTCTGTAATATAAATTAGACCAACTGATGAAGAATATGCTCATTAACTACTATTTTCAGTACTGATCACTGCTTTCCCCGTGTTATTTGCTAGGAAATGCACTCCTTAGAAACATCTTCAGAAGCCAGGAATAGAAAGATGCTTGGTGATCTGCAGATTTGTTTTGGGGTTTGTGTTTTGTTTAGTGTTTTGTTTTTATTCTGCCTTGAAGTATTTTATAGAATTTCTGTTCGCAAAAACTATTCCTCAGTAAAAGCCTCCCCTGGCCCATTCTCCCTCCTCTCCCCATGTGGTTTTGGCTCTCAACAGCATTAGCAGTGCTAACAAAATATTAAACACACAAAGACCAAGCAGATGAAAAATATCAGATGTTAGACTTGATGCTTATTGCTTAGTGTACTTAGGGAGGTGATAGAAAGGCTGAGAGATTGGGAATTGCTTGATTTCACTGTAGTATTTTCTTTTACTACTAGTTTGTGTCATTTCCCATAGGTGCTTCAAATAAAGTGTTGAATTTTTAACTTTGTGAAGAACAGCAGTGATAAATGATCTGCAAGGTGCGTAAATTTGGAAAAAGGAAGAATAGAGAAAATAGAAGAGTCAGAAAGGTGTTTGGTTATAATCTCTGAATGTTTTGACATGACAAATCATGTAATCAAGTATACAAATGCAAGTTTTCTTTAAGTTTATTTAATTTATTTTGAATCCCAATAGCAAATATACAGTAAATAGATATATAAAATATCCATTTTATACAGTACTGTCAGTATTGAGAATTCTATGTGCTGACCTACGTAAGAAGTCAGAGCAGTTGAGTTCCAGCTATCTGCTTGCATTCAGCAATTTTAAGGTACTTTTAATAAGGGATTCTTAACCCGTGTGATGTCAAAATATAAAAGAGGAAAATATTAAATGAAAAACACGATTACAGTTGTTATAGATAAAAGAAAATGTTTGTGCTGGCCTAAAGGGAGTTTAATAATCATTCCTATTAAGCTTGAAGCATATGATAAATCTTGAATCCTACTTTTTAATGTTCAGAATGCATCAAATTATATTGATAGCACAATATTGAAGGACATTTCCCACTTGAAGTTGCAAGAAAAAAAACCCAAAAAATTTTTAAAGGCTTTCTGCATGTTAGTTCTTGATATGAAATCCACCTTTATCTCACTTAATAGATTATAAAAATACATTCTAGTTTAGAGAGGAAAGACCTCACAATACCGTACCTTTTTATTGCATCTTTGCTCATTATCAAAAATGGCAGAAGTTGTCCTTGAAGTCTGATTTTTATTTTTTTTTTCTTTGCAACTTTTCATACAACACTTTTTGGCAGAGGAAAAGTCCTCACTGTGGAAAAAGTCACTTCCACTTGATTTTTAGAATTTATTTGAAAGAAAGAATATGTCCAAACTATGTGATTTAAGTAAAGAATTTAACATCTGTAATAGGAAACATCAAATACAGTTTCCAGTTACACTTCCAAGAGTCCTTCTGTAAGATACAAAGGCTTTTGTTTAAATTATTCAAATGTAGGTTGAACATTGTCAAATAATACAATGGATCCTACTATCATATTGTTCCTAATTAATTATGTCTGAAATAGTAAATACTTTGTAAACTGATTAAATAGTGTAAAATTGGCATTTTTCTGCAGATTTCAAGTATTGTAGAACTGATTTGGACAAGTTGTTCTTTTGAAATTACCAACTTCAATATCATTTGAGGAAATTTCCAAGTTGCACGCTGTTTCTGGCTAAAATGCAACGGAAAGTTGAAGGCTGAACCTCCCAATACTTTACAGGATTATTGAAGAGGCTTATGCCACTGTATAACGCTTTCTTCTTTCTTCCTCCTGTTGGACAGAAATCATTCACTCCCAGTTTTGCAATATGATTAGAATGAAGGAAGACTACCTGCAGCAAGAAGAAACAGCAAAATATAGTAGTTAGTATGTAAATGGAAAAAATATCCAAACATTCATTGGCATATAGATAACTGAGATTTTCTATACAATCAGTTGGATGCAGACCTTAATAGTAACAGGAATTAAAAATTTGTGTTGAATCTTTAAAAAATGTCTCCCTTCTGCCACAGTCCCCAAAAAAAGTTATATGGTATTTTATCAGTGTGTTGTCAGAAAAATTGGACTCTTTTCTTATGGAACTTTTTCCTAAAATGCAATTTTATATTCTCTTATAGTAAGAATTATACTGGTGCAATATTATATTCTCGCATAATGCAAATTTTAAGTGATTTAATAAATTTTTAAAAGTAGTCTCTAGAAAAGTTGATATTAGGAGAGGTTCGTTTGTATGGTTATAGGAACAGATCAGTCTAATACAGATGTAGCTTAAATTAGTAAAAAAAACAGCAGGGAGAGGAGGCTTGTGATAGTAGAGTTTAGAATTTAAGTAATGTACATTGACAAAAGAATTCTTTTGTATATCTATTTTTACATTACATTGTAAGTTGATGTTTGTTTGTTTGTTTTTAAATATATCGTAGAAGATTTTCCTTTAATTGGAAGTGAAAAGAAATGAAATTCAGAGGTAAAAGCTTTTACCAAATAGCTTATTATGCACTCTGTCATCTATTCATTTGTTTTGAGGGCATCTTATCGCAGAATTTATCTAGTTCTAAATACAAATTTTAAAATCTTATCTCATCATTTCAGCCTCAAATAATTTTCTTTGGATTTAAGGCTTTTCAGCATAGGAATGGAAAAATTTCCACGCTGGCTTGCTAATATGGAAACTATAATACAAACTTTTTGAAAACATTTTCTGGGTGTAGCATGTTGTTTCTGCCCCGCCCCCAGAAGTGTTCCTGCTGTTTGATCTTGTTTATTTCTTTAAGTAATACATGATTTCAGGATTTCCTAGTATGAGTCATGTCAAAATATATGTAACAGCTAATCATGCATTTTAATTATGTCCTAATCACTATGACAGTGTGAAAGTCAAACAACTCATAACTACCAAAGTCTTCTATTAAGTTAGTATATGACCTGCAGATATTTCAGTTCGGGTAATCCAGGAGGAACTTTCTTGAGTTTATTTTTTTCAAGATGGATTTCGCGTATGCTTGGTATGTTGGCAAAACTTCCATTTTCCACATCTTTGATTTTGTTATTCCCAAGGCCTAGCCTAGAAATAGTACCAGGAACATTTAATTAAAGATTAATTAGCATTCACAACAGCACTGAAGAGCATACTTTTTTTTTTAAAGTTTGAAATACACAGGAGTAGACATAGGGAAAAAAGAACTGGGGAAAGATGATGAAATCTTACCTCTGATAGAAAAAAAATACCATTGATCCACAAGTATTTTTTCTTAATTTAATCTCCACTAAAAGGACAGCAGCTAGCCTGATGCGAGCAATTGTCCAGTTTTGCATGCAGTTTTTCTACTTTTAGTGGCAAGAGTTAAAATGATAAACATCAACCAATTTGCTTTTAAAAGGAATCATGCCCTTTTATCAAGTAGCATAGTTACAAAGTATACTTAGAGTAGTAAAAAGTGTTGTTCCAATAAATAGCCAAAGAAGAGCAAGTCTTGCAAAGAAACAGTTATATATATAGCTTAGTCAAAAACTTTGTATTTTAAAAATAAGCAGGACTACTTTCTTTCCTACTTCCACATTTTCCTTAATTTAGGCCTTAGTTAGATTTTTTGCTATAAGACTTCAGCCTGCATTGCTAGGAAGGTAATTCAGAAGGTCAATTTGGAGTTCCTCTTTCCGCGCATCCTGCAATCCCCTTTTTGTCCTTTTTTAATTTCTTCAGAAACTGAAGTTGGTATCTAAATGCAGTTCAGTAGTTCCTCTTTGATAGTAGTTTCTATTACCAAATCAAAAATTCACTGCTGCTCAGCCATATTTTCAGAGTACTTAACTGAGCTTTACAGAAAGAACTTCCTTCTTTTGTCCTACATCAGTGATACATTCCTCAGAAACATGCATTTTTTTCTTAAAGCCCATCATGTTTGGAAACCGTTATCAAGTTGTTTCCTTTACCAGCTACAGTATTCCTCTCAGGCTAGTTTTCAGGAGGTGAATTTATGTTCTCTAATAATTTACCAGTTTTCCCATGTGTTTATATAAAGAAGTCTCAAATTTCCCTTTTCATGCCATCCTTTTGTATTTTTCTTTGGGGTGTGTATGGAGTGTTTCCTTCCAGTACACTTAGGCCTTCTGTAGAATTGAAAAGCTATTATGACTCTTAAATCCTATAAATTTAGTTGCAAGAAAGGCATTCTCTTCCTAAAATAGAATTCAGTTGGTGTTGCTGTATACCTCATTTTGGGTGGTGATTTGTGAGATGAGTGACCAAGGAGTTAAAATGCCTGGTCCTGGTAGGGAACAGGCTAGAGAAAAATACTGAATACTGTTGATAAATAATGTGACCACAAAGGTTCATATATTCTGAGTATGAGAAATAAATGCAATGCTTAATTGAAGCATATTACTACTAGCACATTAAGAGATATTATATAAAAGCCACACTATGTTACACAACACCCAGGTGCCAGGAGGTAAGAATTTATGATGATTACATTTTGTAATCAGATGCTGTTCTTAACATACATTTCTACTGCGAACTGTAGGCAAGGCATGTAATAACAAGGCTGATGTTTGGGTTTTTTTAAAATTTGGTCTAATTTACAGCAGTTCTCACTAAAACACTTAAAATTTGTAATTCTCTTTTCTCCCATTAACAAGAAAAGTATCAAATAAGAGATCCTGCCAGGTATGACCATTTATCAAATAAAATCATTCTGCATGGGAATTTTACCTTTGAAGATCTTTATACCGGATAAAATCTTCAAGTTCGATTGTTGTGATCTTATTGTCATCTAAATGAAGTTCTAGTAGACTAGAGGGCAGTTCTGATGAAAAACAAATGAACAGTGTAAGAAAAATAAGCCAACTTATTTTTGTTGGAATATTTATTATGTTCCAAACAGCTGCTTTCCTTTGTGTTTAGGATTGGGTGAAGAATCTTGGAGGGGGGGGGTGTTTACGTCAAAGAAATGGCTATTAGATACAAGTATGTTACTTTAAAAAAACCAAAACAAAACAACATCAACATCATTTGGTTTAAAATAGCAATTTAAACAAAAATTAAGATGTGAAAGCTCATATGCTAATGTTAAGATTTCAGAGTTCCTAAATTTGGTATTATTTTGCTAGCTTTATAACGGCTTTCATGGATTTTGGTTAACTTGTCAAATATGTAAGTTGTTATGTGCAATTATCTAACAGCTGGTAGTCAAAATCCTACTCCTGTGCAACCATTGACAGTTTTTTGTAGATATGTATTTTCTTCCACACGATGTAATAACTGCACTATTATAGCTCCTAAGATGTGATTTGGGAGGAAAGCTTTCAGAATTCTTTAAGCAAAATTAGATATTTGGTATGCTCATTCCCGTGCTGGACTGCAGAATGTTTTCTCATGTGGTACCAAATAGTCCCCATTCAGAACTGGCAGTGAACGGACCAGGAAGTGGAGAATCTTTTTTACAATATCCTTCTAGTGAAGGCAGAGAAAGACAGTCACAAGTTTGAATTTCTATTTGCTGATCTTATGTTCAGTTTTACTAGCATCTGTCTAGATGGCACCCTGACACCAAGCAAGACAAACCACATGTTTTTGTTACTAATATGGCTTAGGAGAGCACTACTCCCATTGCTATTTGTTGTAGCATTACAATACTGAAGAAAAGTTGTATGCTTTACAGCCTGTCTTTATGCCAGTTGACATGCTTTGGTGTTTGTTTGTTTGGGCTTTTTTCCAGTTTACATTCCAGTTTACAATTCCACCGGGTGTTGCTTATGTCTGAGTTAGAATATTAAGAGGGAAGACTACCCATCTGTCCATTTTAGATTTTAAGTCCATTTTCTAAGTGGTATTTTTTAAATTTTTTCTGTGTTATTATAACATTTGCAGATAGAAAGATCTACAAACTTAGTTTCCATTTGTGTAGAATATATTCACCATGAAATCCTGTTTGTTTATGATTTGTTTATGTATTTGACACCACAAATTAGACCTCATGCTGTGTTTTCTTATGGGAGATTTCTCTATAACAAAGACAAAATCTGAATCATTTTACAGTTTGTTTTTTTGTTATTTTTGTGATAAGTGACAGGAGATGGTATGATGATAATACTAGAAGAATGTCTTTTTTTTGTGTTGGGGAGCATTACCATAGGCAGCCAGATAGTTTCTTATCTTAAAATTATCTGAACAATTGGGGTGAGTTGGTTTTGTTTGTTATTGGGCTTTTTTTTTTAGTGTTCTCTTCTACAGGGATGCTTTTGCATATATATCTGTCTACATGAAGAGATTAAATTTAATAAGAATCAAGTTCTTTATCTGACTGATCCAGAAATAAGTATCTTAGGGGCCAACATTTAGTTTCCCTGTAAGTTAATAGATGACATAAAATATGGTATTATGCTTTGTTTCCCCCCTTTTTCTCTTAGCTAATAGTTTCGAGCAGTTAAAAATCATGAGAATTTGGTTAAATACTATATTGACCTACATAAAATGAAGATAGTGTTGTACTGAGTTCCTTCATGCTACTCTTTTGTGTATGGAGGTCAGTGATTTGTAAAGTTAGTGTTTTAATTTATTGCTACCTCCAAATCACAAGTTAATTGTTTTATATGAAGGAGTGATTTAATCTTGCGGTATGTTATGTTAAATTTAATTAAAATATATTAAATTTTACTTAGCAAAACCCAATCAAAAGATGTATAAAATGCTGTATTGGGTTTTGCATTAAAGTGGTTATGTTACAGAGCATATTTGAGCTACAGAGTCACTTGAAACGTTCAAAATTCAAGTTAGAACTTTGGGGGTTTCATTTTAAATGTGTAAAGAAAGTGGAAATTCTGTATCCCTTAGGACCCAGATCAAATATCGGGGGGGGGAGGGGGGGTTATTCTTCCTTTGCAAGGATTTTTGAGAGGCTGGTGTGACAGATGTGAAGTGACATATTATTACGATTTTCGTCACATTGTTTCTCCTGAGAGGAGTCTCTGGATGACTCTGAGAGGAGTGGACCTCCTGACAGGGAGAAGGCAGGAGATGGGGCTGGAGACTGAGAGTGTGTGCATTCTGTGTGTGTGCACTATGTGTGTGTGCATGCGTGCACGTTCATGCAGACTTTTGGGATGTAGAACTGGATACTAAGTACAAAAAGAAAAATAAGGTAGGAGGTGGTTTGGTAGTAATGAACAATACAAAACAGAATTTATGACCATTTTAATAATCATATAGATGTTAAAGCGTTTTATTTAGGAGTATAGGTAAAGTAGAAAAGTTAAAACAAAGCATACCTTTAGGAATTGAAGTTAATTTAGCTTCTGCAATTCTTATATGATAGATATTTACTCCTTCAAAAGCCCCTGGCTCTATTCCATCATTGTTAAGAGGATTTGCACTCATTTCTGTCCAAGGGAAAAGAAAAAAAGTATTTATGACATAGGAATTTTGTGTATGTTAGACTAAGTTATAAACAGCTGATTTCATTTTATTTATGACTTCAGATGTTCTAAGCATTAATTAATGTTTAGCTTTGATTACTTATTCAGAGGGGTAGAAGTCACAGCTTTCAGCGAATAAAGGCTGTCTTAACTTGGCTTGCAGAGTTACCAGAAACTTGACCTATGTAGCAACTTCACATAGAAATTAAATTGTGAAAGATAGTTTCCACAGCATGGATATCTCTTTAAGAGGAAATTGCACATTAGGGAAACATTTAAATGAAAATTATAATACGTTACATTTTTGATAAAGACATTTTCTTTTCTACTTAATTGCACTTACCTAAAACATGTAGAGACTTCATTCCTTTAAATACGTCCTTGTGGATTTTTTTAACCTTATTAGCATGAATTCTGAGCTCTGCTAAAGTTTTTGGTAGATTTGTTGGAATCTCAGTTAGCTGGTTATGGGACAAATACAGTCGTCGTAGCTTCTTTGTTGGTTGAAAGGCTTTTGGATGAATCTTGGATATTTTATTGTTGTTCAAAGCCAGTGCCTATGAGAGATAGGAAGAGCAGCACAAAGAAAATTTCTTTATACATGAATGTTATGATTATGAATTTTAAGTAATTAATTTGATATATAATTTAACAATTAGGTATTTGAAATATTTTATTTTTCTATCATACCAAACTTTAGCGCTTTGTATATACTTCAGACATTTCAATTGATTGTGAAAAACAACTAAGAACCTGGAAGCTGGAGCATCAACTAGAAGGTAGAGAAAAACTAGTCAGAGCTGACAAGGTGCCAATGGATAATGAGAAGAATTTGCAACAATGTGTTTGTCTTCTTATATTTTGTGGGATTGTATGGGGGACATATTTTTTTATGATGTTGTTGTTCCTTAATGCAGAGAAATTCTCAAAAGTCAGAATTTCATCTTTTATTTCAGTATAATGCTGCAAAATAAAGTCAGGTTTTTAATCTGAATTTCTTAAAAGTTAATGACTGTATATGACTGATGCACACATGAATTTATATCTTATTTGCTGTAACTTTTCAACTGCTGTGAGTTTAAGCCTCTTTTCTGTACAGTGCACTAGTGCTTTTTTGGGACAGTTTTTTCGCTTGGTTGATATGTGGTATCAGAGAACTTGTGATGAGTTACTACAGACAACAAAATAGGAGTTATCTGAAATTATTTTGCATGTCAAATCATATCTCTGCATTTCCATACCTAGACTATTAATTTTTGTTCCTTTTTTACTTCTTTGAGCTGTTGGTAAGTCATCTGGAATTGGAAAGAAAAGCAGAGCAAACCAGAATGAATTTTTTTTTTTCCCCCCAAAAATGAGGATAGCTTAAGGAAATAAACAGGAAATGCTCCTTCCTAATCCAAGTTGCCATCTGTGCCTTTGCTAAGTAGACTAGTACTTAGACAAGTTGTACAAAGTAAACTTTGCTTTCAGTAAAAATTATGTTCTGCCTTGCCACAAATTAACTAATGAGAAAAATCAAAACAGCTCAGAGTTTTCAGTTACCACATAATTAAGTGGTGACTCTCATATATAATATGGTGATTGCTGATGTATTGCAATGACTTTCTCAGTCATTGGAGGTTAGTTTCTATAGATCTTTTATACTGAATATAAACCACAGTTGGTGTGTTTACCCCTAACTTGCTGGTAAGACCATTCTGTACCCAGACAGGAGACACTCAAGGGGAATTGGAAACACTTTGTTGCAAACAATGAATTTATATGGTACCTGTTTTTTCTATTCCAGTTTAACCCATAATAATTAACAAGCTCATTCATAAACATTTAGATCTGGTAAATTTTCAGTTCTTGCTCAGAAACCAAATATGACTGAAAAGGATTTGGTTTATGTTGGTTTAATGTGTGTTTCATGTCTTTGTAATGTGGAATAGAATGCCATTAATATGCTATAACTTGTGGAACAGATTTGTTATTTTTACAATGAAAATTTAAAAATTGTCAATATTTGTTGTTAGTGGATCTAGAGTAACATCTTATGGAAATAAGTATTCCAAACCAGATTAAATCTATGTTTCCAGGCCTCTGAGACTCTCTTACTTTCTTTCATTATAAAAAGGGATTATTGTGTACTATAAATATACAGATTTATCAGTTGTGAGTGCTACTTATTTTAAAGCCTGTCTCTATGTGCATACTTGAGCATGTTAAAAAAATAGTAGTAAAGCACCTGACTTTTTCAGTAATTCAGTGTTGGTCTGTTTTCTGTTCAGGTAAATTGGATTTGTAACATTAGTTTCAGTGGTGTATGTGTTGTATGGTTTTGTTGTGTGCTTTTGAAAATACCCTCAGAAAATATCGTTCTTTGAGATTAAGTTCTTTCTACTATTTTACAGCTAAGCAGATAGAAAAGGAGCACTTGTCTTGCAGCCTTTAAAATGCAAGGAATGTTCCTCTGCATGCTAAGGACTGAAGAAAACTTGAGGATCTTTTTGGTGAGGTACATACGGTACACTTTCTGCATGTTGTAGAAAGTAGCATAGTTCTTGCAGCTCAAAGAAATTTGCTTCTTACTGTGTGGGAGCAGTCAAATATGCAGATGTTAGACTGTATTTTTATGGATGCTATTGGAGAAAAAAAATACCATTTGTATTTTAAAAGTATCAAAATATTTCAGATTGCTAAATAAGATTTCAAACTTGGAAAATAGCAAGCTTACATAAAGTGATGTGAGTCCTTGGAGATCGTTTTCCTTGACCTCTTTAATTTTGTTGTTTTGAAGGTCAATCATACGAGTATCTGGTGGAATGTTGCGAGGTATTGATGTCAAACCTATTTAAGTATGTGACATAAACAGAAACATCACGTGCCTATATATAAATCCAAAGAAATTAACTGCTAAACAGCAAAGCACAGAAAGCAGCCCTTGGAGAATCTGGGTCTATGGTTTTGTATTGAGGAACAGGGCTGTTGCAGTGGCTTTAAGGGATTTCTGCTCAGTGCTTGAATGCTCCTTTCTACCTCTGCACTGCCCTATCCATTGTACTGGCACAGTTGCTTATAGAGCTGTACAGTTAACATCAGGGCTGAGAAATGTATTCTTGGTAAAAGTGGACAAAGGATGGTCTTCCAGCTGCCAGTACTTAATTACCAGCTATATAAATCCCCCGATCCAGTTCACTGTTCAGTTACAAAAACACTTCAGTTCATGCCATCTGAGATCCTGAATCAGCAGAAGAGACTAGCAAGGTATAGTAACTTTCTTTTCAGTGGAAATGCTGATGCATCAAATGCTAAATGCTTGTCCAGTTTATTAGCAGTTATTCCATAATTAATAGCTTACAGTTATTTAAAGATGAAGTCTATTAATAGGGTTTTTTTTCTATGTGTGAACTTAAGCGGTTTGCAATCTGTTGACTAGATGCAATAACAACAGTTTATTGCTGTCAGCAAAAGTCTATTTTGATTCCTTAATAATGACACATCTTTAAAAACCTCAGCAATTTATGTATTGACTCAATATCTCTGACATGAGGAGTCTAGGATTAAGTTTAGGATGGTGGCAGAGCTGTGATGAGAACAAATGTCATTGTCACTGTGCTAGTGGCAGGAGCATAGTCCTTTGATTACCTTGAATCATGGGAAAACTTCAACGAACACTACTTCAAATTGGCACAATTAATAATAAATTCATATTTAGGACCAGCATGTATCTGCAGCAGTGACAGTAGCAGATTTGCCTTTTGTTAAAATGTTGTTACCAGTGATGCACACTTTGGTGGAAGTTAAGCTGAGCAAATAGTTTGTATGCCATTTATGCGCTCATGTTAAACTTCCGTGTGGTTTATTTATGGCCTCTTTTTCCTTTGTTATGTTTTCTTGTCATTTGACCTGTTGCTTTGTAGTTGTGAATGAAGTACTTCTTTAGCCATAGTCTTTTTTGGAGGGACTAATAGCTTGTCTAATGCAAATAGGAGATACAGCAAACTTTTGTGCTCCTCTGTTTGGATGTAACTTCATGCAAGTAAAAGAAAAAGGGGAAAGTGTAATCTAAAATCTAAATGTAAGCATTTTCAAATTCTGTAATTTTTCTTAGTTGATAAAAAGCATTGCAGATTATTTAGTACTTACTAACCCCGATCAGTATTCAATTAAATAGTTTTACAGTTATTTGTTATATATTATAAAAGCCTTTCTATTCTATGTTGTTACAGATAGAAGTCATTGCTAATGGAAGGTGGCTATAGCAGCTTATTAATTTTCTAAACTGATGCACATGAACTGGGAAAACATTTATGTTGTAAAAAGTGGTGGACACAAATTAGTTGCTGGACATGAACTGGATATGGTTTGTAAGCCTAATTGAAAAAAATGTAAGCTCCTTTTGAAAATGACTAGTACAGGAATATGTGAAAGTGTCCAATTTATGGAGCTGTAGAATTCATCTTTTTAAAAGGCAAATCCTCCAAAGGGGAGTCCAGTGGAGAACAGACACACAAATTCATTCTTACCTAGGTCAGAGCAATGGACAACTCTCACATAGCATTGGCATCCAAAGGGGCATACTGGGAATAGATCAAAAGGAATTAGTGGTATAATTGGTTCAGTGGTTGGAAATAGAGAGTTGTCATCATCATAATCATCATCATCTTCTTCCATATCTTGGAGCATCATATTCTTTAGTGTAAAATATGAAGGACCAATGAGAGGTTTGGCAGAGCACAAAGCCAAGAAGAGAAGGAGCGTGTATTCTTTCATATCTTCTTAATCAGGATAGCCAATCTTGAAGAGGAAAGTAAAACAAACAAACAAACAAACCCAAACACAAGAATCGGTGAATGTAAAACAGCAAATAAAGCTATTGAACTATTTATTTCACTCGCTGCTACAGTCTGTGGTCCTGAAAAATGGTCTGTTATGAATATTAAGGTTTAATTAGTATATGAAGGATGAAAAATATAAAAAGTCTTTTAAATAAAAATATTGTTATAAATTTATATGTTATAACATTAAAAATTATTTAAGTGAAATTCATTAGATACTAATCTTATATCAAAGTTTTTTATCTGAGTTTAAAAAATAGTATCATCATTTGCTTCAAGCTTTGAAGTGTAATTTTTGTAGTAAATTTTACCAGGACTTGGAATTGGATTTATTTTATTCATTCTTGATGAAAAAATATTTTTAATGGGATATGTGGGCATATGCGCATTGCTTGTATCCAGAAAATTGGGAAATACTTTATTAGCAATGCATGAAATGCACTCATCAGGATACTCCATAAGCACTTGTTATTCTGCTCCCTAAACACTTCTAATTAAACTCTTCTTATTCTAATCTGGAAAAATAGAGTTTTCAGTCCTGACAACAGCTTTTCCCATATTCCAGTCATTCTTTTATTACTGCTGTTGATAGAAGTTCACCTCTGTATGCAAGCACATTTGTATTGACTTTTATTTGTTGAGGGCTCTTTTCTCTGACAAGGGCTTGCAGGTTATGAATCTCTGTCATTTGAAATCAGTAACTTAAATTACATGCAGAAAAAAGCTGGAAGCCAGTACTTTTGTGTGCATATTTTCTCAATAAACATGGGGGGTGGGGGGGGGTTAACCTATTTTTGTCATCATAGGGCCTGTACATGAGAGCTAGGCAGCCAACTGATAGGAGATGAAAATGCGCTGTGGTTGAATTTAATGCCATGAAACCCAGCAGCTTTCTAGATTACCTTTAACTTGAAAGTATCTTTCTTGTGTAATCGAAGGTCCTTCGGTCTAGAAGACAGAAAGATGTTGGATCAGTTAGGGTACCTTCAAAGCAGAAAACCCCATGTCAGATAGCTACAATTATTTTTTTCCTGATGTTATTGAGAAGAATACACAAGTTACGAAGGACTTAAAAAGTAGATTTGTCTTTAGAAAAACATGGCAGATTCTGTCTTATTGCAGCTGTTCATTCAATTTTATTCTGCTTGTCTGAGTTCCAATTTTACCAGATTTCTTTTAGCCACACCTGACTGGGAAAACCAGGAGTCCAGTCCTACAATATACTGTGTTACCTGAGTACTGATGATCCATAGGTCAAACCCCTTAGATATTTTCTACATACTCTATTCTAAAGATGATTTTATTGACTCCTATAAAACTAGACACAAGGGGAAATGGAGATAGTAAGAACTGCCACAGGGTGTTTTGCAACTCTGTGAGAAAAGACTGTAAATTCAGCCCTTAGCTCTACATTGTTCCCCTCCAAAGCCCAATTCCAGAAGTCATTTGGATTCTACAGTATGCTGTGCAAACCAAGAGGGGCTGCTGTGAATTCTATTATGCATATCCTGTTTATAAAAATGTTTCTATTTAGACTATCATAGACCTCTTTAGGGAAAGACTAAACAGATGTAAATTCTTGTTTGATCACCTAATTAAATGCTTGCTGATCTGTTTATAGCTGAAAAGTGTCTTTATGTAGACATTTTGTCATTGGTCCTCAATCACAGGAGGAGGAGTGCACTGGTTCATACAAGGGTGTTGACTTGGCTTATTCAAAATTCTGAGTTTTTGTTTGTATTGCTTTTCTCTGTACAAGGTCATTTTAATGTTTCTTGTATATGATTCTTACAGCATTAAAATGCTGTGTATTGCAAACATTGCTACTACTGTAACTGTGTATGTTTCAGGGTATATAAAGAGAAAAAAGCTGACACTATTTAGATTACTTAAAACTCACCCCTTCAAAAAGAATGCAGTGACTCCTTCCTCCCAAATATGTGTCTGAGAACAGAAGCACAATATACTATGTATCTTGCAGGTATGCATCACATAAGTGTAAGTTTAATATTTATTATAATCTTCCAGTTGCATGCTCATTTGAGTAGCGTGTGTATCTTTTACTGATCTAACAATCTCTTAAAAGAATCTTCGCATATATTTTTCCCATATATTTTCCTTTGTGTTCAAAATAATGTTCTCTTTCAATGCTCCTAGAAAGAATTTTATAGTTGTACTTGCAATCCTATACAATGTGTTTTCTTGAAAGAGTGTTACAAACAGTGCTGGGAACAAGATGTGGAACCTACATTTGTTTCTTTGGAGAGAATTGTGGTCATGTCTGGCTGTACCCTTTTGCAATATTTGGCTCTTTCAATGTTGTGTTTCACCTTCAGCAAAACAGTCAAAATGTTCAATACTTTAGTCAGACCATTAATTAGGACATGAGTTTGAAGCCTTTCAGACTTCCGAGTTCTCCTTATTCTTGGACAAGTGCTTTAATGACTGGGTTTTCACAGATGGGCACTCAGGCTGGTCTTCCCCTGGCTACTTGGGTATTAAGTGACAAAACACTCTGTGCTTTATTCAGTGGTGTTGTACAATTTCTGCATGTAGGATATCAAGTGTTGTAGCATGTATCCTGTCCTGGGACATCTAGTTTCCAGTCCCAGCTGACTTCTATTTGTGGTAGGCACTGGAGGTATAGTTTTACTGTATCTAAAGATAATCTTTCACATACATTCCTGAAATGCTTTTCTGGATCTGGTGCTAGGAACTTGTCTTATAAAACAATTTAAAAATCTGTTTTCACACTTGCACCTGTAGCAAATGGATTGCATATTTCCTTTCAGATATTCAAAAAACTAATTATGATTTTGAACTATGAAAAGGTTGAGGCTATGATTGGAGTAGTGGCCAGTTTGAACTCTTGAAAAACATGCGTTAACAAACAGTTCTAGAAACATAGCACTGAAATATGTCATTGATGACATATGTTAGTCCTGTGAGTTAAATCTCTTGAAAACAAGTCCATATACAGAAAGAAGCATGAGTTGTGATACTTTTTTTTAAAAACAAAAGAGAAAAAGCCCTCGCTTCATCTTCCCATTTTGCCATTAGGAAATCCTTATGGCTAATTAGCTTTGTAGCTAGGGGTGATAGTCAGGTTTGACTCCAGGTTTGCATTGGCCAAAGAACTGGATTTTATGGAGGTTTTAAATTTTTTTTCCTGGCTGAGGTTTTGAGTTTCCCAGTTAATAGGTGTTGATGTCTCTGTAGAAATGCTCTGACTCTGCAGGTCATGAAAAAGAACTTATACAAACTTTTTGCATGCTTAAACTTCAAGAGTAAGAGAACTAAAAGAAAATGAAAGCCTAAAGTCCAAGATCCTAGTGATCTTTCTGAAAATACTTTAATTATTTTATCATGACAATTTTATGAAATATTTCATTATTTTTTTCAGAAAATACAGTTCATTAATACAGCTCTACTAATGGTTCACTGCTGCCAGTTGAGGCTGGTTCTGCTCCTAGGTATGTACTTCCAGTTCTCTCATACCAGCTCTTCCACTCATGCGGTTCGCTGAGCTGATTGAACTCACTAAACCAGCATAAAACTGATGTGAGCGAGGAAAAAACCCCAATACATTCTTTCCAGCTGAACAAACTCAATCAGTCTGAGTATCAGAGCCAGCACAAAGGAACGGGTGGAACAGCCTGGTTTAGGGGGATGGAATGTTAAACGGAAAGAGAAGGAAGGAGAAGAGGTGGGACAGCCATTCTTGACATATGCAAGCTGTTAGACAGGCTCAGGTGTTCTGTTTAAAAAGACCCTGAACAAATGATTGTTGCTTGGACAAAGTCTGGCCTTGTCCATTCACATTTTTACAGACCGGAACATTGAAGATGGGTTTGAGAAAGAGTGTAGCAAATTCAAGGAGGGCTCATGTACTTCTTCATTACATCTTCTTTATAGCAATCATACTTACCCTTCAGGACAAAAAGCTTCTGAATAGCACCTTTTAGCTGGAACACTAAGCACTCCAAAGTGAGGTCAGTGAATGTGGACAGTACACTTTATATGTAGAGATGCTGTAAGGCTCACTTTCTTTCCTGAAGTATGAAACAATACCAAAATCACTGTACTAATTGTTTGGGACATACTTATCCTCACTAATGTGGTGATCTTTACCAAAACTCTTGCCAACCAACACATGGAAGTTAGGAACTTTTAATGCTATTAGTTTAGGATAATACTTATCATTCATAACTAATTAAATGCAGGTGATGTCACAGTATATTAATATGATTTAAACCTTTCAGAGATTGTGTGGAAAATTTCCACATAAGTGTGCAATAGTTCTGTGACATGAAAATTCTAAACATGAATTATGGGAAGAAAAACACTTTCTGTGAGGATAGGAGTTACGTTGTTAGTATGGGATGTGTGCATTAAAAAAAGAAATGTCTGGATTCCTTGCAGTTGCATGCCAGTCCTGCAGCATGCGGTCTTTGTTGTCTTACCAGTTATGACACTGAAGGAGTTAACAGGTAAAGTTTTAAGACTTAAAAAGACTCTAAATTATATTTAGAAATCACTTCTGTTACCGGTCTATGGAGGCAAATTTCCGATGGCATTGTTTCTGAAAAGGAAATGTTTAAATGACACAGTGGTGGTCTCTACAGAGGCAAAGAAAAATCCCTGTGTTCATTAGTAACACAAATCATTGCGCTGTGCACAGATTTTGTCCAAAGAAAGGCAAGACCATAGCTGTTTTGAAAGCTATGTTTAAAAATAGTTCTGGTTCTATTAGTCATTGTCCCATTCCAGAAATAAAAGGAGTTTATGTTTAACTCCTTGTCTACTCTACTGATGTATTTAAATTGCTTAAGAAAAACAGGAGGAAATCTTTATGGTCAGTAAGATTACTGAAGAAATGATTCTGTCTTGAGAAATAGTCCAATGTTGAAGTAATGTAGTATAATGATGAATAGCATGTTT